ACCCCCAGCAGTAAAAACCCTTGCGTCATGTGACCCACAAGCAGCCCGAGGCACGGCGAGCGACGACAAAGGGCGGAGACGGATTCATGACCAAACGTGTCACGACAGACCACGGAGGACGGAGCGGGGGCGGGGGGGGGGGGGGGGGCGTCTTACCTCACCTCGCTCGCTGTCTGTCAAAAACGGCTGTCAAACTGTCAAGTGTCATTTAAAAAGTGGAAGAAGGGATGCGCCTGATGTGTAGAATATATATATATATATATATATATATATATATATATATATATATATATATACACATACACACACACACACACACATATGAATGACTGCTGATGCATTTTAGAATCTGAGCAGGTGATGGCAGTGCTCTGATTCACTGCACTACGTCACTGGATTTAGATTTCCGATCACCCCTCTTCCACTTTTCGAGATACGCCAGAAAACACAATCGCATTTGACAGGCGAGGTTCATGAAAGGGTTAATCCGTAGCCTCTAGTTGGGTACGAAGACGGACGCCGCCCTTCCCCCTGCCCCTCGCGTCCGTAGGCGGTCGTGGCACCCTTGATCTCGGAGGGCCTGCCCCACGGAGGCCCTCGCCACTTCCCACATGGGCACCTAACCGTGGGTCATCAACCAGAATCGCCAGGGGGGGTTCCTCCCGCCCCAGCTTCACGGTCTTACCATGGTCAGGGTATTGTAGGTCTAGCTGGGTTGGCTTGGCCCCCAACATCATTGACCCTCTGCCTGGCAGGATGATGGCTTTCTCGCTGTCACGTCCATCATCCACACGCCGCTCGTGCCATCCACATAAACATCCACGTGGATGGCGCACGGCGGCAAACACACTGTCGAGGGCGGCGAGTATTCATGCTGCATTTTAACGTATCGTGTGGTCGCCCTCCGCAGTCACGGGCTGGAGCCCCACACGCCACTACAGCATATGTACTCATATTGCTTGCCACAAACACTTCACTGTCGCGTCGATCCCACACGCGGGGCACCGCTACGCCACACACTACCTTCTCGGCGTATATTTCCACGGATTTAGCGCAAAGAACCCCAAATAATGGACAAAAACTGTGGAGCCGGTGGCGGTCCGCTCTCAGCCACGAGGTTCTGACAATTTAAGACCGGGAAGGGTGCCAAGTAGCCATTTCTCCCTCCGCCACGGGTTCTGACATGTGCGAGCGCCTGGTGATGCTGCCACCAGACCGCCCCGACAGAACCTGTCTTCCCTTTCGCAATGCCTGTTTCACAACCTGCTTCAGGGGGGTTCTTCTGCGGAAATATGATGGTTTCCCTTATTACATATCCGTCGCAAAATCAAAATCGATGTTTTTAATTAAGGCATGGGTGTAACTCTCCTAAATCCATCACCAACCTATACATATGGTGAGCTGTTGTATAATTTCAACGAAGTATCCTTATATAAGCATTACAGAAACTTACTACGCAATGTAAAACAACAATTCGACACAAAGGGAACCCAAATAAAACGCAAAGGAGGTCTGTCAGAGCCTAAAAGCACGAGCATACCAGTTTATTAATAGCCAAGCTGGCAACTCCCAAGCCAGCTGATGTGTTCAAGTAATAACATGAAAACTACTTTTATTACACCACCTTCGCTGATTCACCTTCCGTCTCCTTTTTTTGAAGATGGAATTTCCTTGTTTTATAAATTACACGTAATGGTTGGTAGCCTTAGAGGAAGAAATTACATGCAATTGCAAATTCTTGAACTTTCGTCATACTTGAATGATTTGAAAATCTCGCGATGTGGCTTCCCATATTTCTCTGATCACCCGAATTTCCTAGGGATGCAGCCCAAACACACCATCTCGAGGTAATCAGGCGACAAATAATAGGTAACTAATCTGGGAGTCACCAGGTACATTGCGTATTTGCAACCTTCCCATGGCCTCTTGCCAATGGACCTCCCAAGTCCTCTCGTATTTCGACCCGTTTTTCTCAGCAAATCTAACATAACACATAATACCACCTATGCACACGTCAACACTCACCCTTTACGCTTTCGTTCGAAGGGATTTTAGGCCTCCATGTTGCTAGATGGAACAGCAAATTCGAAAATAAATTCGAATATGTCGGAAGGCCCTGGAAGTTCTCGGGCGAGCGAAAACCTCAGCCATTTCACCCTCGGAAGGTACGGAGCTGGGAATCCTTCCGCCAGGGAAAGTAGGGCGGACGGTTTTCCTCGGCTGCTCTGGTGGATAAGGAGTGATTGATGGGTTTATATTTGATAGTAGATTTGATATGTTATTTTTGTATTACCTCTGTTTGAATTTTTATGTTTGTATTGGTATTTTGAGAAATTAGATACCTGAGACATCCATATTTGTTTACAGTCGTGTAAGTACAACCATTCTTGATCTATATCAAACACACCCAGAAAAGATCATAATATATTTCCAAAAACTTTCATGATACCATGAAGAAAATATTCCCTGCAATAATATACAGACAAACGATGTCGAGAGTTTGCCCGAGGCGGATGAATACACGGAATCAGCTGATTGTGTTTACTCTCGAGAATTTGGGAAACTTCGACCCGTGTAAGTCCGCTCTTCTTTTGGCTCGTATTATCCGCCCTTGCGAAGTTATTGGTTGGTAGTCTTGCGGGAGAATTTGTTTAGGGTCGAAATTGCACCTAGGAGAGGTTAGTGTGCTTGGGAGGAAGATTAAGTGTTGTAAATAAGAATGAAACTTCCTCTGTTTATATTTCAATGTCACTTGGCAAGCCCCCTCCCTTTACTTTTTGACCTTGTACTTAGATAATTTTTGGATCTTTACAAGTTTACTTATGTAAATTATAAAGAAAATCAATGCTACTTCTAATTACAGATCAATGGTTTTGTAAAGAAAATATATTTTAGATGCTTAGGTGGTTAAACACTTTCGTTTGACAGATCATTTTTTTTGACGTTTGACGTTTCTAGAAGAAACATCGTTCGTGATTTGGGCATCGAGAAGTTTAGGGTATTTGGATACACTGAAAAAAAATATTTCCTGGACATACTCAGAGGTCTGTCAGGTTTTAATTTCATTTGATTTGTGATGATTGTCAAATCATAGATCAGTTTTGCAGTTTTATGAAGTCAGTAGGTCCACAGGTATCAGGTATCGGGTATCAGGTTGTAAGTCTATTTTGATATGGCTATTAAATATTTTCCAAGTGGATTATGGAACGTTCCAGTGAGTGATTATGGTATTTCAGTGTAGATAAGTCATAAACATTTTATGAATAACTTGTTATTTTAAGTCAGATGTTTAAATGTACAGCTTTGTGAGCTTAACCTCAAATACTATTTTAGGACGTTTTGAGTAAGATATATTTTGTATATCTGTTCGGCTTCATCTTATCTTCATAATCATGAAATTCCTTTCCTTTGAATATTGGGTAGGGGTTTTGCCCCATGGAAGTAACCCCCCTGAAATCACAATTTTTAAAGTTTGTTTTGTAATGTTGAATTGTGCCCTAAACTTCTTTGATAAACTGTAATTTATTAAAGTTATTTGGAGTTTTTATGAATATAAGTAGGTCTTTAGGCCAAATAATTACAATTATGGATGTGCCATGAAAGATTGGAACTTAATGAGCCTATGCAGTGAGAAAATGAATGAATACAGGTTTTTATGTCCATGTACAATTTTATGTGTACTAAGAGATACAAGAAGCGCTAGAGTTAGAGTATATTTTGCATATTATTATTTGTTTATTGGTAAAGAGCACAGACTTCTAATTTTTTGTTATATTTTGTTCTGCTTTGTACTAGCAGCATTCTTTAGCTTGTTGCTTGTTTCGGAGGACTTGGAGTTGCAGTGTGGCATTTCTCTATATTGATTTCACTGAATATCAGACCATATTTTTCTACATGTGACTGTGGGTATAGTCATAAATGTTTGATAGAATGCATTAAAAAGTCTATTCCTTCCTAATGTAGTTGGTTACAATAGGACCGCACCCGTCAGAGATGAAGTCCTTGACTCCCGCCAACAATGTTGGGGGTCCTTTGGGGGATAGGGATTTTGAGGCAGGGTAATTTCTTTCATACCATACATTTTGAAAAAGCAAAATGCGTGGTAAAAAATCTGTTTCACTGCAAAGTTGGAAAAAAGTCAGAAACACAAGTTGCACTGTAAATAAACTTCAACTTTGGAACAAACAATGAGAACTGTGATAAAAGAACTGTCAAACTTGCTGGGAGAGGGCAGCGATGTGCAAGTATGGCTGTACCATGTATTTCTAATGAAACTATGGTACGTATATTGTAAAATCAATCACATCATATATTTAAGGAATGGACATTGGACAAATGCGCATTCTGTTAAAGTTTCATATGAATTGGAATACAGAAATATATTTTACTATAGTGCACTTCTAAGAAATTTGCCATGCCATCACGAGCTACATGTGCCAAAACAGTTTATGTTGAGTTCCTAAGCAGCTTAGTTGTTCACTGCAATGCAAGAAGGGCTGGACTTGGCTGCTGGAGATACATGGGGACTTAGTCTCAGTGCGGCATTCTGTGTGCCTTATTTTCATTGTTTAACTTGAATAGGTTCGCTTCTGCAAATATTAAAGTAATATTAAAAAAGGACAACCATGCATTTGATTTTTTCTTTGAATAAGCCTAGATATAGAGTATAAATAAATATATGAATTTCCAACAAGATATAGTTTGCTAGTCACAGTCATTGTCTTTTTGACTAATATGTTCTATATCTCACCTTTATAAGTATAAAATTTTCCGCTGAGCAGTGCTTCCATGACATGATTTTTGCTGCAAAATCTGTCAAAAACCTTTGCAAATACCACATACATAATGAAGTAGATGCAAAAATACAGTACAAGTAATTTAGTCTATTGTGAAAATCTTTTGTATATAGATGCCTCTTCATTATGAAATTTAGAAATTTAGTATAAACAAAGAATAGGAATCATATATGAATGTGAATCTTTAGTGCAAATATTCCAAGACACCCTTTGTGGTCGTAATGATCCAGTGGCTTTCAAGTAATTTTTTTTTTTACCTACAAAGCGAATACAAAGGTTTGTATTATGCAGAAATAAATGAGGCACCGACTGACTATGTTACTTTTTTCAGTTTTGATGTATTTTTCTCACAAAAGCAAGAATGAAAATTAGTGATTTTGAAGGCTAATCATAAAAAAAGTAATTTTTTTACTGTACTAAATCCCTAACTTCAAGTCACAAAATTTATTCATCACTAAGGCCCGTACTTTTAAAACCTTCGCCAGTGCTGGCGTTCGCCTGGCGAAGCTTTGCCAGGCGAACCTCTGAGTGAGGGAGGCCTTACTTTTAAAACCAACGTTCGCCAGGGCGGGCGAAGGGATCGCCAGGCGCTAACATCTTGCATTCCCGCTAAATCTAGCGCAAATTTGTTTACATCTGCAGTGCACATAACATAACCTAAACTTAATTATTAACCTCGAGAGAAGACGAAAATGTTGTTTCCGCAATAGTCTCACTTTATACTATAACAAAGGAGTTAAAATTTAACATTATGCTATAACAAAGAAGTTGAAAATAACCTTATACTATAACAAAATTAACTTTACACTTTATGCTTTACTACATTTTATACTATAACAAGGTTAATTTTATGGCCCGTACTTTTAAAACCTTTTGCTTTTTCTCGCGTTTTGTTTCATTCGCTGAAGCGCTAGATTTAGCAGGAATCCAAGATGTTAGCGCCTGGCGATCCCTTTCGTTCGCCAGGCCTGGCAAACACCTGCCTTGGGTTTAAAAGTAAGGCCTCCCTCACTCAGATGATCGTCTGGCGAAGCTTCGCCACGCGAACGCCAGCATTTGCGAAGCTTCGCCACGCGAACGCCAGCATAGGTGAAAGGTTTTAAAAGTAGTTTATTCTATTCTATATCAACTTTATACTTTTATACAAAAAATAACTCTATACTTTAACAAAAGAGTTTAAAAATTACTATTTTACTATTCCTAACTGATATAAGATATTGAACTGTAGGCCTACAAGGGCATCATTAGAGACGCCTCGTTATAGGGCGGTGGAGCACTACAGCTATGTTGCTACAGCCAAAAGTAAACATGCCGCCATAAAAACACTTCTGGTAACATTTGTGAAAAGAGCATTATCCTTACAACCAAAATAACAACAACCTAAATCTAAATAAGTCATCTCGGAGGTGGGGGTAGGGGTAGGGGGGTAGGAATACAGCTGATGTCTTGAGCTCTCGACTGGAACATCGAAGGTCTGGAAAAAAATACGTATATACGTTATTTTATAATAAATTATGATTTTAAGATATTTTAGAATTTCATTGTGATTCCTACATCATATCATACACAATTATGTTACTAATTTATAATTTGAAAGCAAGAAAATGGTATTCAAACAGCTCTCGCGCCTTTGCTTCGCCAGACTGTTCCAATATGATCTTTCGCCAGCCCTGGCGAACGTTCGCCAGGCATGATTTTAAAAGTACGAAAATCCGGATCGCCAGCCCTGGCGAAAGGTTTTAAAAGTACGGGCCTAAGTTGCTATAACTGGGGAGGGGAAGGTTGATGGGGGCTTGTATTTTTGTAATATTATAATAGATAAGATATGCCTGTTGTAAATTATAGCATTTTATTTGTTTGTTATAACATCTTTTTTGCACATGCATGTTTTCCGTAACTATTCTTTGACAGCCACTGGTATGTTATGTGCTGAATGTGATCTTGGCCATGGTCCTTTATGCCAATATAATGGAAATTCTTTGAAAGTTATTGACATTTGCATAAGTCACAGTGTGCAAAATGAACCTTTGAATTATGCAAAAATAAAAGCAGAATTTATTAGTTATTCAAATGATGCATTTCTCGGAGTCCAACAAGTCCATTTGTTTAAGGTGATAATAGTATGCGACTAGAAGGGTATATTGTTGATTGGGAGTTGGGAAGGTTTTTGGTTCACATGGTGATCTTTTTGATCATTTATGTGTGTATAATAGGCTGTGTCGAATCTTCTGTGGCTGAATCTTGTCTCAGGATTTTCTATTTTCCATTTTCTTTATCATATGAAATTCAATTATTGCCTCTAGATTTTATTATTCCACTTTCTTTTGCTCTTTAACATGCTTGTAATGAGTGGGATCCCCAACATTGCTGGCTGGAGTAGGGGAAGTCTCTGACGGGTGCTCCTTTCAAAATCACAATATATCTACAGATTATTTTTCTTAGAAAATAGGATTTTCCTGTGAAAAATAGACGCATTTGTGTGAGAAAGAATCACCATTATTTCTTTTACTGACAACTGTAACTTTTTGTCTTCTACAGGAATATCTTATTCAATTTGCCCTAATTTAGTGAGTCCATACCGTGAAGATTAACCATGAAAAAGTAACATGGACAGTCTGAGACCAAAGTCTTTCTGAGCAAAGGGAGACCAACCCACCAAAATGACCTGATTACTATTTGCTTTTGTGTTATTTCCTATACCTATAACCCATCTTCATAGAAACCATTACTTCTAGTTTAATAGAATTTTATTGCATACCCAATTGGATCCACGGTCAGGAATTTTGGGTAAGAATAATCTATTTATTTTAGATTACTCCTGGATATGATTTGGTAATTCTTTACAATATGATTGCACTTGCCAAAGATTAACAAATGGTTTGTGGGATGTCCATCATTCTTGTGTTTTATTGCTTCATTTTTGAGTCTGTTGATTAGTTTACATTTTAATTGCATTTCATATATATTTACTAAAATAAAAAAAACAGTAATGGAAATGTAGTATTCCTGGTTGTTGTGGTCTCTGATAACTTGGAGGGAGGAAAGTTGGAAAATGGGATGATTTGCAAAGAACCAGAACTAAAAAAAAAACAAAAAAACGTGGAGTTTAATCATCCTCATAATAGGGAATAGCCTTGAATATTTATAGGTCTGCAACCATTTCCTAGAATAACAGTCAGAGTAGAAGTGAAAGTTTTTATTAATGCGACACATTTTTATCCAGAGAATTAGCACTGTTTTGTATCTTGCTCCATGAAGTTATTTCTCATTACTTATTTCATATGGTAAAATATTGTAATTACTCTAATTTTTCTGAAATATATTTTGTTATTCTTTTTATGGTATGACCTGAGAGGGTATTTGTTTTTATTTTAGTTTTTAAAAAGACATTTTTGGCAAAAATGCTCTATTATGCTTTATATGATATATATTTATTTGAAATCTATATAATAAGCTGTGAGTAGTTGTCTTAAAAGGAATTCTGTATTTGTTTTGATTTGATGATATTACAATAATGCTTAGGATGTTTTTTGGGTTTACACGCAAGTTTTACTAGTAGTACCCTAATGTCTTTTATTTACGCTGATATTTCTCTAAATGATTTTGTTTATTGTACTTGATTAACAAATTTTTTTACTTGCAGGTTTACCACAACATGGTGTCAGAAAGAACAGCATAATGAGACGATCCATCCAAGAGTGAATCACCCTTATTGACTGACGAAAATAGACGAAAACGGCATTGAAGAGAGGAGCTTATTTGATCATGAACTGAGTTTTTTAATTGTGAATTGGATGCCTCTTTGATGACGACCCCATAATGAAACGAGATCAAGGACATGAAACGGAACGGTAATTAAGTTGAAGATACGCATAACATTGATTAGAATTTGTTGGCAATGCTATCCATGCCCGTCTGAGTCCCATTCTAAGGGATCTGAGCCTCACCATCAACATGGATCCAGAGTAATGTAGCTGACGGAACGTGCACACAGTGAAGAAAAATTACTCACTGTTCCTTCACCATGGGATCGACCCAAGTTCCTCCAAAGGGAGTCCGGAGCGACAGCCTCCCCGTAGCTATCACGTGGGTAGGCCAGGATCGCCTGCGGCCAACGCATCTCCGAGCAACGTTGACACGTCTGTTGCAGCGGGAAATTGAGGAATGGGAGCCTGTCACCTTCAGCTACATAACTGGAGAGGTTGGTCTCTGGACTTTGGTTTTCTGCTTCATCATCATTTCTTCATCTTCCTTTTGTGTTGTTTTATTTGTTATTATTGTTTTTTGAATTTCGTAATTTATTTATTTATTTATTTATTTTTATTTTTTTTATTTTTTTATTTTTTTGGGGTGGGCTATTTTGTCTTTTGTGCTGGATCCATAGCTGAGAATATCAGTTCGAAATCTACAGTAGGATGTAATTCATGATTGTTATTCACCATTTAAGCAATTGTGAAATCTTTTCTCTCTCTCTCTTTCTTATATGTCCTTTTTATTTAACCCGCTAATGACGGGACCCCCATATGAGACACCCGAAAAAATAAGAATTGCTGGGCATCCCGCCAGTGTGACGCTATCGGGCTTGCGCTCCGAGCAGCAGCGGGCTGTGGCCTGATTTGTAACCGCCCGGAATCTTTTATTTTTGGCTTCAAAATATACAGCCGTTAACGAGTTAAATAATCATAACGCTAATATTTGGATGTTTTTAAAATTTATTACAGGATTTTTGTTTTCATATTTTGAAGTTCTAGGGACAATGATTTTTTTTTATATATATATATATTTTAACAACTCTAAAAACCTATAATGGGATATTTTCCCCCCAGATTCTATGTCTCTGTTCTTCAAGTGCATTTAATCTGTGATGGATAGCCAACAGTCATAGGTCCTACATGATAACAGTGAAGACCTATGAATTATTGGCAAAGTTTAGTTATAAGAAGGATTGATTAGCTTTCCCATTTCTAGAAATTATGATAGAAGAACATGCACTATATTCTTACGTCTTTGTACGGGAGGTTAAGCAATATTTATTGCCGGTGAGAATCCATTTTACTATTGCCTTTGCCACCATGAGTAACCACGGACACAACAGCCTCTCCCAGCCTTGCTAACGTTTAACTGTAAAAGGCCAGCTGATAGGCATGGAATAGCTCAAAAAATATCAAACAATGGTGTATTATTCCTGCTAATTTTCATGCCAAGTGTAATGGTTTATTCTTTTTGCTGGACAGCTGAGAGAATTGTTGAATAGATAGAATTGCTCATTAGACCAAAACAGTAGAGACTATCACATGACATGACCACTGAGTGACATGATGGATGTCTTGTGGTGGCTCCTGTTCTGGCAAGATGATAGAGAGAGAAATGAGGAAAAAAATGCTGTTTTATAAGCAGTTCACACTTTGATGTTGAGAGTGCTTATAGCTCTCTCTCTCAGTCTCTCTCTCTCTCTCTCGAGAATTTAATCATGCGCATGAGCTGACAAGACTCTGTGCCTCCCCTTTAAAATTTATTTTGTGTAAATTTTTTTATCCCATTCCAATGTCCATTTGTCTTTTTATTTGCTTTATCTAGATGGTAATTACTTATTTCCTTGCATAGACCATATCATCTCTCAGGCAAAAAAAAATATGGAACATTTAGTTCTTGTGTCATGTATCTCATTTTTTGTAATTTTCAATTTTACGTGATACAACCTGCACAGCCAGTCAAAGCAGCCAGGAATCACAGCATGGAAAGGCGTCCTCTCTGGAGCTGGCGCTCTTCCAGTCACTGCTTACGCATGTTACATTCCACATTTGTTTATCGATGGGAATAATGCTAAAGCCCCCTTCTAAGTGCCATATGAGTCACACTCCAAGAGGTTTTACTCGTAGAAGCAGTTCACACTTTGATGTTGAGAGTGCTTATAGCTCTCTCTCTCTCTCGAGTCTTTTCTGTCACCCTGGCCTTTATTGATGGCATGTTCATGTTACCTGGACAGCTGCCCAAGTTCTTCCTTGACACGACCGCAACGTCATCCAGGTCCAAGGGGTTAATAGTCTGTTAACTTATGGGTTTGAGGCAAGATTGTAGGATGTGCACATGGTGTCACATGAAGATATGTAGATATAGTAAGGGTGAATCTTATTGATAGCATAGCATTACTGATACTAACAATATATTGATAAAAGGATGTTTACAAGCTGTCCTTTTTTGATGCAGTAGTTTTAGTTCACATTGATATGGGTCCTTATAGCTGGAGAATTAGATGAAATGTACCAGAGAGATAATAGGAATGAAATTAAGAAAAGAAAAAGATCAAAGGTGTGTAATACTGATATAATTCAAATGAAGTAAGCATAGATACTATCAAGAAAGAGCTTGTAAAGGTCCCTTAGTGGGGGGTCTGTAATCTCTTTTTAGGCAAGATTATAGTTCTTATTTTCCAGCATTCCAAAACCCCTAACACTTTGATACATTGATGTTGTATAATGGTTGCTACAAAACACAATCGCATTGAAGTTCTTAGTGACATACAAAGTTACTTTTCTGAATTTCAGATAAGAAAAGTCAATAGAAAACCATTAATGTACTTAATATGCAGGTATGATTTTAACCACAAGCAAAATATTGTAGAAGATTCAAGTGAAAAAGCACCTGACTACTCTGCAAATAGGATGATTTATACACGTTACTCTTCACTTTGCAATGGCTGTGGAAACTTTCAAATGTATTTCTCAGATTCATTTCAAACATTTTTTTTCTTATTACATATATTGTTCTTCGTAATTTTGCATCTGAACTTATCCACTGATAGTGAGCTCTGTGTCCAAATCAGACAACTAGGTAATTCCAATGATCAGACATATTTACTTGTCTTATTGATTGAATTGTATTGTAGCCGACCCCTGCAACCTGCAGCACAGCATACTTCCCCCAGGTTGGGTCCAGGTCCACAGCCTGTCCTCTCGCCCTCACTTTCAGCAGCTTCTCGACGACTCGTACCGAGACCTGATTGGTTGACCATGGACACCTCATGGCTTGCCCATTGGACTGCAGGCTCCCCTCGTTCCCGGGTAGCTGGCATAGCTCAGACCCACTTAAGCTCCCGCACCTGGGCCTAGTTCAGCACTCACGATCCTCCAGCTGAGAAAGACACAGCGCAAGCAGCAACAAAGCCTACCCAGGCCTTATCCGATGGGTGAGCCGCCCCGGCTCTCCCCAGCAATCTCCAACACACCAGCCATACCTGTGAGCACTCACACACACACACAAAAGCTCCTTAAAGAGATGATTGACACCAGTCTATGGCGGATACCAATCCATTGCCATACTGGTGACTTTCCGGAGTGACACAAATACCCAGCTTTCTGGAGTATCATGGTTATCGCTCGCTCGCTTAGCTCCCTTCACTGGAGGAGGAGTACCTGTAGCTGACCCCCGCAACCTGCAGCGCAGCATACTTCCCCCAGGTTGGGTCCAGGTCCACAGCCTGTCCTCTCGCCCTCACCATCAGCAGCTTCTCGACGACGCATACCGAGACCTGATTGGTTGACCACGGACACCTCATGGCTCGCCCATTGGACCACAGGCTCCCCTTTTCCCGGGTGGCTGACACAGCTCAGACCCACTTAAGCTCCCGCACCTGGGCCAAGTTCAGCACTCACGATCCTCCAGCCGAGCAAGACACAGCGCAAGCAGCAACAAGGCTTACCCAGGCCTTAGCCGACGGGTGAGCCGCCATGGCTCTCCCCAGCGATCTCCAGCACATCAGCCATACCTGTGGGCACTCACGCCCACACACAAGAGCTCCTTAAAGACATGATTGACACCAGTCTATGGTGGATACCAATCCATTGCCATAGTATCAACAAATCAAGATAAAGTCTATTCGCTGATATGTTTGAGCTTTTAAGGTTGTATCAGAGAGGTACAGAAGGATTTTGTAGATATTCATGCCACCGAAGTCAATACCACATCATATGATTTGGACACATTGAATATTCTTGCGATTTTGTTCCAGGGACTGTCATGATGGACTTCAAATTTTAGCCATATTGTCTTAAGATGCATTTAATGTACTGCTAAAAAGACACAGGAACATTTAATGCATCTTTGAAATAGAATTTTGCGATGCAATTCATGAATGAATGAAAATACATAATCCTATCTGAGACTGTATGAAATATATATGAAAAATATCAAACTCTGATTGGCTGGCTGGAGTGTATCAGACTGTATCAAGTTAGGGGCAAACACTTTGATACAGGCTGAAAAGATGTTTCATTGGGTTCCAATAATGTATGCATAAAGGGCAATCATTTATCAAAGTGTATCAGACTGTTTCTGGGTTTCAGGCAAGCTATGAAAAAAGGCTGTATGTGATGAAGGTTTTTGGCATTATCAGTGTGCCAACCTGCATTGAGGTCATGGTGATTTGTTGTGATACACAGATGATCACCTGTAGGCCATACTAAATGTAGTTGATCAGCATTGAATATAGCTACTATAAATGATCAGTGCAAATCACAAACAAGCCATTGACAATATAATATTCTTGAAAAGATTAAATGCTCTTATACCACTGGAACCTGGTCTTATCAAGAAAAAATTTGGCTGAGGGGCGGATGACTGGAATGTCTCACCATGGGAAATTGAAGCTGAGTGATGGGTGATGAGGACATTTTGTTACAAGTGTGCAAAGCATTTGGAGATTGACTCAATTGGCCCTCAGGAAGGGGATTGTTTGAGAGCTCTTGCAGGATATTCACTGGTCCATGAGGAAGGGTTGAACCATTCTTAAGCCATGCTGGGGAGAGGGCAGTGTCATAGGCAAACTTTATGTCCATGAAAATATGAAAGATAGTAGAAATAACACAATGGTACTTATTGTTTTTGTTTTTACACAGAGTAAATTCCCTCGAGTAACAATATAAGATTTGCTCAACAAAAATATTCTGTTACCATCTTGATACACCATAACAGATGACAAATATAGACCTTGGAAAATGGCAAAACAGCAAAAATATGTGCAGAGAAAGAATTTAAAGCATTGCAAATAGGAAGCAAAAATTCTTGATACCACGCTTGAGTGTTTGCATTGACTGGATTGGTCCATGCGTAATCCGTGAGGAACCCAGATCCAATGGGTTAAAATGGAATTCATTGTGGCTTTTTAGGTAAGAATTATCATACCAAGAGTATAGTATGAGCTGCTTCTTACACTTCTGTCCGTCTCCTCTAAGACATTAATCAGTTTATTAATATGATGGTTAAAGCAACATTTACATATTAACAGGTTAGTAATCCGTTCAAGCAGATAAATAATTTGAAAATTCAGGAACCCTTATCTTTGTGTTTCTCTGTTTAGGAGTAATGATGATGTAGGAGAATGCTTTTCCATATAATTTTTTTTCAGTAGTTGATTCTTGTACTTTGGATTTTTCCCTTGAGTGTCTGACTGAATGGTGCCAGGTGCATAGTCCAGTTTGGCATGCAAATCTCCCATTGGCATTGGCTTAATTCCATATGATAGGGAAAGCATTAACATTACATACCAACGAAGATGGTGATGTGTATATTTGTATTACAGTGATGCTTTTTAATTTCTTTTTTTCTTTTAAAGGATTTTATGTTAGGTTGTCTTAAAAATATGATGTTGTGGACAGAGGAGAATATAAAATGGTCTAGTAATTTACCATTGAAAACCTCCCTCTCCCCCCTTCTCCCCCCCTCTCCCCTTCCCATCTTTCTCCCCCTCCCTCTCCCCTTCCCCCTCCCCTGCCCTCCCCTCTTCTTATTGATATTAATGGCATTTAAAAATAATCCCCGAAACCCAGGAGGGATGGTAAATAAAGTTTACCAGTTGACTCTTGGTGATTGTGACCTGTGGAGCCATCTGTTTATAAATATTTTGAACAAAACATTACTACAGTGAATAGCAAATTATCCTTCATGGCCTTGGGTTAATGATATAATAATGAAAGAGTTGAAAAAGGGGATTGTATAAAAAATAAGAAATATTATTCCATTGATCGATATCATTCCTAGGTTGTCCAGTTGATATCTTGAGGAAATGAATTGAGTATGTAAGGTTTTAGATGTTAATATGTAAAATTTTTGACTGAGGAAAGTCATCAAGGGAATCATTGCTACATACATAGAAATGAGTAATTTGGGTTTCGTTGTTACTGAACTGAAATTATGGAATCCCATAATGTATAGACAGAAATAATATTCACATGTTATTTTTCTCTTTCTCCAGTGGAAAAAATTTGTTGAGTATGAAATTTTTTCCCAGTTTTGAATATATGTCTGGGTTGGCCAAGCCTGTCTTAAGTCGATCACACTCCTGTATCTGTTAAAAATTTGTCCTTCAGATGTTGTCATGCAAATAGCTGCAATAGCATATCCAAGTACTCATGATACTTGGATTAATATATATATTTTTTTCTGGGAATAAGTTACATTTATATTTATAATGATGTACATGTCTGAACAACATACAATTATTTATAAAGACAGACTACTCCTGTGTTATCATGCATCCTTTAAGCCTGGGGGGGGATTGGCGGAAACTGACCAGTAGACAGGAATCGTAAGATGTTACACTATTACATTTACATTAATGGAATATGTCTGAATCTTAGGCTGGTAGATCACATCAGGGTAAATGTAGAAAAAGTAGATCATATCTCGCAAAAGGTTGGCCACCCCTGATATATGTGATGTATCTAATCTTCCGTATATTTTCCTTTCTTTTTAAATTTATTCCCCTCCCTCCTCCCCAACCTAGGATTCGAATATCCAGCTTATTTTGTGATTAATACTTAACACCAATTCATCCCATGAATACAAAATGTTGTATTTTTGTTGCTGTGTAATACCTGGATGACCGGTGATGATTTGACAAGTTAGTGATAATAATCAGTAGATTGGTAATTGTAATTCCTGGAAATATGAAGATATTATTTAAGTATATTCAATTAAGCCAGTCATCACTAACGACCTCTCAAGCACATAATTGGGAAACTGGTTATTGGTGTCTGCCATCATAAGGATAATCAAACATGGCAAAAAGTTTTTAACAAACTTTATTACAATAAATAACTGAATGCCCTTTCAAGGAAGTGGTGATATCACACATTGGAACAAATTTATTATGTCTAGCTTATTCTAGTCTGAGACACACTAGTGTAAGCTAATAATGGTTCCTAAATCATAGTGCGTTGAGGTCATATGTGCATCTTACCTCCGTAAGAATGAAACAAGACCTTGGGAGAGACATGTGGGGTAGCCATGAGGGGTAATTCTCACCAATAATGATGTGGGTCACAAAAGCTTATCCCGATTGCATGGATAGAACTGTTTGCTGATTGATGGAAATTGTGAATGGAATTTCAATAGCTTTCATGGAGAGAATTTTGCCCCAATAGGTTGATGCTTGAGCTTTGCTTTATCACCTATTTGTGGTGGGGTATTTTCAAGGAGTGTTATTGGCATATTGAATTCCTTGCTGCGATAATGAAACCAGACCCATCATTGCACATGTATGGCTTCGAGTCATAGCTACCCACATGCATACATACACACATACATGCACACACAATAACAAACACACAAACACAGAAATATGTAAAAGAGTGAGAGTAAACACAGCCAGTGCAAGAAAATAAACCCCATAGGGGTATGGTCTTGTTGTAAATCTAACTGTATCAGATTCCCCACAAACTATATTAGATTTCCTAAATAAATTGACCTTTTCTTGCTGTGACTAAAGCCTACATACACACAAATTTACACAAAGTTTCCTTCAGTATTATGGATGTGACTACAATAAAAAAAGAAATAAAAAAAATTGTCTAACGTCTGTCCTTCACACTAAACCTGTTGATTTGCACTTGTTTTGAAATCTACAAAATTTTCACAGATAATGGAAAAGTAATTGTGACCAAATCCAAGTATATATAGACTGCCCTAATTTTTTCCAATTATACCTTCTTGAAATTTTTTTTGAAGTGTAGCAATGAAGCAGAATTGGCACCACATAGAATATGCTGTAGATATTTTTAGTATCTGTTATCAGGATCTGGTAACAGTAGGATTCACGATATTGTTAAAGCAAATCCCAACTTTTTTGTCATGTGTCAATTATACGGTTACAAACACTCATTGCCCTGTTATCAGTTTTGTCTTTGTCCTTCGTGGCTCGTACTGACTGTCAATTGTCTTCCCATGCTAAGAAAAAAAAAATTATAGGTCACTTCAGTTCACATATTTTGCCTTCAACTTCACACGTCCACAGATAAAGTAAGTAGGTCGTCTAAATGTCTCTGTCACATTGTATAGTCATAGTGAACAGTTGGCCATACTTACTATAACTGCACTTTCAGTTTTCAATTATTTTTTTGTTAGTTTTACATCCAGAACAGTGTTACAAGCAAGTTACATCTACACTAAAAATTAGTTTTCATTAAGCAGAACAAGCTGTGTTTCGTTCTGCTCAGCATATTACATTGTTTATACGCTAAGTCAGACTCCGCTTATCCTCAATGGGAATCGAACCTTGCCGATCACGGATGTACTCAAATAGCAGTTCGTTCCGTAGAACATCTGTCACTGCATCCTCTGGGCCAAAAGGAGCAACATCTTTCGAGGCCAGAGGATTAGGTGTCGTTGTTGTGGTAGTCGTTGTAGTTGTAGTGGTGGATGCAATATTCGCTGATGCCATAGACCCTTGAGGATGGGTGGTGTATGCGTACCATGGCTTCTGGCGTTGGTACAGGTTTCCTCTGTTATTGATGTAAGCATTGTATCCGTTGACATTACCTGCTGGGAGGCCCCGTCTCAATCCATACTTGTACTTCTTAGTGTGTGGTAGTGCCGAAGAGGGAGGACCATTGGAAGGTATTCTTGTTGTCGGAGAGTTCATGTGGTTGGGTCTTAGTGCGAAGTATGGACGCCTCGTTGGCCTGGGCTTAGAGGGACCTTTGTTACTGTTGCTGTTCTTCATGAAGTTTGAATAGCCTGGGAAACTGTGGAATGCAGGCTTGTCGGTGAGCATTGCTGTTCCCATCTTGTTGAGGCTCGGTGAGGGGGGTTGACGCTTCGGTGGCATGGGGAATCGAGTGGGTTTGCTGGGATCTTGGTCATCATTTGAAGACTCCTGAAAAGAGCAATGATTTCTAGCATTCTTGGACTATTTATAACTGCACTGACTTTATAGCTGTTGTTATTATTGTGTTATTAGTATTTAATAGTAGTGTTGATACTTTTATTATTTTGCAGTAATTTTATTAGAAATGTTAAAATTGCTTTAGTATTGCTTTTTTGTTATATAATTTTCATATTGTTATCATTATGATTGTTATTGATAATATGATTGTTATTAATTTTATTATTATTGTTTAATCATTATGTTAATTCATCGCATAATTATTAATAGAAGAAAGTTTGTTGGTAGTTGGTAAGACAATATTGTAGATCCTAGAGGCATTTGAAGCTTTTTGCTAGCAGAGAGTTGCAAATCATACCATATGGTGGGATGATTATTGATTTATATTCTGCAATGTAAATCTCAGCCTTTGAAAATCATCCCTATTATTTAGACCAGTTTCCCTACTACACGAATTCATACCAACCTTTTGGTTTGGAGCCTGTGTGCGGTAGACATTTGCGCCATAGAGTCCAGCCTTAAAGAATTTTTCCCACACCTGAGGGTTGTTCCCAGTTGGTCGATCTTGGAGAGCCATGCCGGACACACTGTTTGATTCGGAGATCTCTCCGGCTGCTGAGCCTGAGTCGGGACTGTCGTATTTTTCATACAGTTGGCCATTGTTTGCATTCCCCCCCTGCTCAGACTCGTCCACCTGGCCGTACTTAGAGCTGTAGTCAGAACCTGGAACCGTCATTGGACCCTGGCCCCCATATCTGTTGTAATAGGCCTGCACAGTGGCTGCTGGGTCTTGGTCATTTGCCTCATTGTTGGGATAAGGGTGTTGTTGCGAGCCCTCGTGTTCAGGGAAGCGGTAGTTGTGACCAGGGCGTGGGGAATTGGTTGCTAGGAGATGGTCTTGGTTGTAGTGTGGTGTGGATGTGGTAGGGCGGAAGTCCCCTCTGTCCTGGGAGATTTCATCCATGCGGTCGTGGATGTTGTTAGACATGGATTCGTGGGATGATCCAGAGCCTGATGCATGTGGGCGGCTTCCAAAGGAAGTTGGGCGAGGACCAGACGGGGATGGGCGAGGACCAGACGGGGATGGGCGAGGGCCAGACGGGGATGGGCGAGGGCCAGACGGGGATGGGCGAGGACCAGACAGCAATGGTCGAGGTCCTGAAGGAAATGACTGGTTCTCAGAAGAATCGGGACGAGTGCCTGAAGGAACTGGCCGAGACCCTGAGGGTGCCTGTGTAGCAGCAAACTGTAACCTGGGGATGTTGAATAGAAAAAATTACACACTGTAATTTAATTTGTTATACAGTTTTATCCTTATAAGTCGTCAGATTTCCATGGTTATTGACGTTCTTATGAATTTCAAAATATTTATAGATAATATTGGATTCATGGATGATGTGAATATTGTCACATATGATAGAAAAGAACGTGCATCTATGTTATTCCCCCTTTGAGCTGACCTCGAGAAGAAGGTGATGGCCTCCTTGGCTGCTGGGTGCGGGTCAGGCTGCAAGGGGCACTCGGGGTACAGGAGAGAGCAGTCCTTGCCCATCCAGCCAGCTCTGACGGCGATGAGGGAATCCCCGAGGGAATGCGGCGACGTGTCCTCCAGCGCCCAGCTCAGCAATACGCTGTGGAAAATAAAACAGGGGTGATCTTATTAAAGCGGAAGACGTGTGTGTGTGTGTGTGTGTGTGTGTGTGTGTGTGTGTGTGTGTGTGTGTGTGTGTGTGTGTGTGTGTGTGTGTGTGTGTGTGTGTGTGTGTCTATGTCTAATTCTTAACCTGGAAATATTTCTTGCTTATATTTTGTGTAACCGTCGCTATATATATATATATATATATATATATATATATATATACATATACATATACATATATACATATACATATACATATACACACACCCCCCATATCATCCCCATCATGCTCGTGTTCCGGCGACCGTGCTGGGTCGTCGAGGTAGTGAAATATGGCAGAGGAAGTCCGTAGAGTTTTCACACAGTAACGGTAAACGCTCGCGAGATGGCTGTAGTTTGACCGCAT